GATCGAAACACGTGTTTCGATCACCAAGTTATCATCGTTAAGAGGAAGATTAAATTTCGATCAAAAAGTGATCATCTTCAAGAGAAAGTTTAATCTTCCTCTTGAATCAATCACTTGGTGATCGAAACACGTGTCGAGGTGTTAAAATGACGGTTTGGTGTTGGGATAAAATTTCAGTAATACTGAATTGGCTGATATTTGATGAAAATTCAACACGTATTCAGGTAACACTTTTTTGTGAGATTTTCACTGAACAGTTCAGGTATGAACTAATTAAAAATTTAAACAATATTAAAACTACTAACTCAGTGACTAATAATTTTATCAGAGTTTGGGTACAAACTAATTAAAAATTCAGGCAATATAAAAAAAGTTTACCCACTGATTAAATGGACATGTGATGAACTATTAGCCAATTTCCACATTTGAAAATAGATTCAACATAGGGGAAGAATTCAATTTTATTGGATCATTCTGGAAAGTTTCCAAATCTATTAATTTCTAACCATTCTAAAAGATCAAGTTTCATCAATTCTTTAGTTCACAGTTGTTGTTGAACCATGTTGAACTGATATACCTCTGGCAAAAAATGGTTCACAAATGTGAAGCTACTCTTAATGTTCTTTCATTCTTTGGGAAACAGTTTTTTCCGTTTGGCCAATAAAAAGTATTGACAAGAACTGCAAGTGAACTCATACTGAAATATCCAACACTGAAGTTTTGCCTTTCCTGTTTTCAATGAATATTGTCATTTCTTCAAATGGGATAGACCAGGTAAATGGCTTGTTTTCCTGGAATTTATGGACTCAATCATTTATATCTTGTAACCGTTGTTGCAGCAACTTGTTTGATAAAACTCAGTTCTCTCTGAAAATGACTTTCTGACAATGGAGTATTCAATAATCTGTGAAGCATACTTGCTACTTATTGCTACTATATGCTGTTAGGGATGTGTCGAGGAATTATGTATGATATTGTCCGAATAAGATTTTTACGGAAAATTTCAAAATCATGTTCATCATTTTAGTGATGGTCAAATCTAGAAAATTTATTGAATTATTTACTTCCATTTCAGTGATAAATTCAATTGATGGGTACAGCTAACTGCCTAGCTGTACCAGTAAAATAGACTGATATCATCTATGTACATGTATCAGTATGAAAAACTATTAATCAATTGATTATTATGTATTTAATTTTCAAGGTTATCCCCATAAGAAATTCAGCTAGCAAAGAATATTATTAGGCCTTCACTGCATTAATAACACTTTTCAATAAATTGAAAATAATTTTGAGATAGACAAATAGCAAGTAGATTCAGAATCTTCTGTTGCAGTTTTGTAAACTGTTTAGTGAAAATCTAACAATGAAGTGTTGCCTGAATAATGGCAATAAATTAGGTTGTAGAGTATTAAACATGTTCAAGTATGTATGTAAGTATATTACAATATTTCAAGAAAGATGATTGCTCATAGACCATATTCAAATTAAGTCATCTGTGAAAATTTGAGACAGAAAAATTTTTCGATACTGTTTACATTACTTTCCAGAAGTACTATATCAAACTCTATAAAATCATTCAAAAATGTTCACTCTATAGAATCGTTTGAAAAACATTTCAGAAAAATGTTTATATACTTTGATTTCTATTTTTAATTTGCCTATAGGACATGTAATTTTCAATCCCCCTTCCCTTAATAAAATGTTGCCTTAGTACTCTTTGTTATACCTTAATTGGGTGCATTTTTATATATAACAATAAATTACAACGAAATTCAGACATATTTAAAACAAATGACACAAAAAAATATCAAGGATATATAAGGGTTTCCATGGCGGTCCATTGCAAACCCATTCCTTATATCTCTACATACCAAACGGGAAACTGGACCATACCAAAACCTAAAGTACTGAGTTGTTGCATGAGTAATGAAGGCAACATTTGAACTCAGTTATTGTTGAGTGGTATATTCATATCTTAATTATTGGCACACCTCATATGTGACAATATAAATATCCTTTAAATCAGTTTATAATTAATAAACGATACCAAGGTAAATTGACGATTATAAAAAATAGTGCAAGAAAAACTAAAAATAACGATAGAAATATTCAGATGAGTTATTTGAAACAAATAATGAAAGAGAAAACTAAAAATAAAATATGAGTACAGAATTTAAAAAAAAAGGACACTAGTAAAGTAAAGGAAACAAACAGACAAATCCTACGACAAGAGCATGTTGTTGTTTTCAAAAATGTTTTTTATCAATTTATGTTTATTTTTTTTGTTATCACTAAATATATTCCTTAACCTGTTCATTTCATTTAATGCATATTTGTTGCATGGTCCATCTACACAAAAATTGTTCAAACAACACCACTATTCCTAACCTTTTCTGAATTAAACCCATGACCTGATGATGAGTTGAACACGTTAGAAATGGTAGTCAACTGTCTTAGTTGTCGCCATTTTGAATTAATTTTCCCTTGAAACCTTTTATTAAGTATCCATATCATGGAGGTACATAAAAATCAGTCCATCATCTTTGGAAGTATCCTTATTAGATTAAAAGTGGAGTCATTTTATTTTTTGTATTCTCATAAAAAACCCTTTAATTTTATACCGTTCTCATAGGACTGCAAAAAATTAACTAGTGCGCCATGTTGGGCGGTTTGCCATCTAGAGTGACATTCATTTATCTTTCGTAGTCTTCTCATCAAACCCTTTCAAATAACTAGTTCACCATCTTGGGCGGCCCGCCATATTGGATTCAGAGTGACGTCATTAAATTTTTTGTATTTTTTCAGTAAACCCTTTCATTTGATACCCGCTACACGGAAGTGTGTAAAAAATAACTAGTCCACATCCTAGGCGGTCCACCTTATTTGATGTAGAATGTTGTTACTTAGCTAGCCATGCATAGTCATCCAAACTAAATAAATAAAACTTAAATAAAATTAATCAACTGCAGAAATTGCAAAATAGAGGCATGAGAATTATTCTGAGATGTAATAGATACACACCAATAAATTCAATGTTATCCACCCTTCAGTGGCTGCCCGTATTACAAAGGTTACTGTACTTCGCAATGATATTTATTTATAAGATAATAAATAATTTGTCTCCTTCTTATTTCATGAATATGGTCAACTACAATTATGAAATCCATGAACACTATACTCGCAATAACTGCAATCTACATATTGTCAGAACAAATTTTAAAAGTAGTATGAATTCAGTATTTTTTAAAGGCTTCATTAAATTTAATGACCTACCAACTGACGTAAAAGACTGTTTATCAATAAATGTCTTCAAAAGACATTTGTTAAAATATATAAAAGAAACATAACTTACATTTGGATAAAGTTGTAAATCTATGTTTTATATGTTAGTTTTGATTGTGAAATATTTGNAGTGGGTAAATTAATCAACAAATTTATATGTATACACTTTTATACATACATACATTTTTCGGAGTGCTTTCTCTAGGAAATATCCTTTTTTTTATACTAGGCCCGGACATCATGCAGGTAGCTACTGCATCCGTGGTGACTTCGGTAAAATCTTCAAGCCGAGGCTTTAGTAGAATTTGCTCTCAATTTGACAAATCATTGGTGATGATGGAACCGGAATTGGTACAATCATTCAACATTAGAGAACTCATGCCTCCTGCAGAAAGACTGGCTGTAATTTAAAGTAGACATGCTGAAATACTTTTCTGTTACTTTTGGACTCGCCTACAAACCATGCATTCAGTATTTGTTCTTCATCGTAAACTAATAGAATACACACACAAAAAATTGAGGTAGGAGATATGAAACTATTCGCATGAAAATGTACAAGTATGAATTCGTACATTCTAAATTATATAACTATCACGACGCCTATCGTTAGGGGATTCTTTAATTTTCGGAAAATAGAATACTGGTTGAGGAATAAAGGAGAGCCTTTCGAATTGTCAACTTCGGAATTATATGAAAAAATACTGACTTCTAAATTGCAACTATCTGACTAGATTCATAATTTATACGTAACAATAGTACTTCAGTTGATGATATGAAACAAAAGTATTTTGAAGTCTTTCACGATGTCGGAACCAAGCATCTGATTTAATAATAAATAAATAAAAAGAATGATAAGAAATTATAATTCTGTCATACGTAATTTCTGATTTGCGAATTTCATTTCACCAGGTAGTATTTCCTATCTAGTTTATGATTGAAACTTGGAACTCATAGTAGTAGATCATATCAGATAAGTATTTCATTTGATGAATATACCTTTTTTATGTTGACTACTCTGTATATTTGTTATAAGCGACAGCTGTAAGCAGAATATGTTTTTATCGTCCAATTTTCAGTTTTATTCACTTTTTGAAAGTTATTTTCGTATTATAGATCATATCAATATGGATTTTGTTTGCATCACATGTTATTTTTCTGAGATAGCTACTATATGTAACTGTTATTAGTGCCATTCTTCATATGTAGTTGTTATATCGTCAATTTTTGAGTTTAATTTGAAGTTTTCATAACATTTATTCATTCTCCTTTCGTATTTCTCAATATTTAGTTGGGGTATCGCAAGATGCATAATATTTCTGGTATGATCACTTAGACTCTTCTGTTATGTGAAATATATTATCAAAAATTCTGAACCTCTTGGAATAATGAATAGATTTCACAGAGATTCTGACTAAACACACCTCAAATGACACTGCTTAACAATAGCATTTCAATTTTCAATGATGTTTGCATTTGGGACAAACGCTTTTTGAAAAAACAAAAAAAATCGGTAGAACGCCAAAGTTTCTATGCACCTAGGAATTTAGTCTTTTTTAGTGTACCGTCACCGTCTCAATGAAATTGCTACTTCGCATGCGAATGGAGTGGTTCGGGGAATTTTGAATTGTATTAGGGAATTTGATAATTTCTGGTTGGCAACACTGAAATTATGCCATCTACAGTGAGAAATTTCAATTTGTCCGTCGGTAAAACAGTATTTGCTAAAAATATGTAAATAAGCGCTACCATTAACCATTCATCCATCTTGTCATTTAAAAAAACTGAGGAATTTTATTTATGTTGTCGGCTGTTGTTTTGTACTGTTCATTGAAACTTTATATAACTGTTCTTTAGAGGTTTCTGCACCGCAGAAGAGCACCGGTTTATTTTTACGAATATTATATAAAAGGTGAGTTTCTCTGATTGATTTGAAGACTTTTGGATTGTTGATTGTTTATGTTGTCGGTTTCACATGATAATATTCAACGGAAATTTGTCTGTTTATGTTGCAGTTGGATTTATTTTCACATAAAATATATTGTGATAATGAATGTGTTCATTATTTGGGGTAGTGTTCCTCCACCACACAATTTGTGATTGTGTTATGCTTGAATAAAGCATTTTATTGAAGGCACTCCCCGCTCATTTGGTTCCCTTTCAATGAGTATCACACCCTGATTAAGGAAAAGCCCATATTTTATGAATACAGTATTCACATTATTAAGGAATATAGTATTCCCACAACTTATTACAAAAAGTGGATTCATCCACCAGTCTTGTAGTGGGTTTATGCTAAGAACTAAACCCAATAACTAGTATCCAAGACTCTACCTAAGAAAAGTGCACTGTTTATGCACAAGTTAAAATAACCATAATTCATTTGATATTTCAATATACTACTGAAAATGATTCCATATTAACCTTCAACTACAAGCCCCCAAAATATATCTCGACTACACGCGTGGTGTACCTTGTACACCAATATCAAAAGTGATATAATCTTTGATTAAACCAACTTCAATATTGTTTCAATAATTCATTTCAAATACCAGGAAATGTATTGTTCTTGTCATCAAACACTATCTTGATATTCATTTGTAAAGTGAAACATTATTCTGGACAGGATATTTTGGTTTCAGCCTGTTTTTTACATACGCTCTTGCTGCATGAAGTACAAGTCATTATTGTTATTCCATTTTTTCGCCTCACAAAAATAGCACCTCCTCGTTATTTTCGCGGCTGGTTTTCATCAGGGCCTGGCTCAGATTTTCTGTACTTTGAAAGAAGCATTTGGATATCGGAAGGTAAAGTTTTTATTTCTGCTTTTTCTGAGAAATATGGTGTCATCAGGGACATGGCTATATTTCTGTGGATTTTCAGAATAAATAGCATTATATAAATAGCGGTCTTTGAAAATGAATGTTCGACAATATCATGATAACATTTATCCAATCCAATATGAGTATAATGTTAAATACTAAATCACGAAACGAAACATGGTTACAACATACTTACATAATTGCACAAGTGGTGTATTCTGTTCACTGTAGTGATTTGCGACACCGAGGGTACTCCAGTCTGAACAGTTTATGAAAACATATGGTTTGTTTTCAAATAGTGGTGTATAAAATACACCTAAGCGTATACTTGAGGTTAACAAAGAAATGTTCAACACTCTTCCATTAATTTTTTCCATAATTATAAAAGGTACCTATTCTTAATTATGATGCACTATTTGGAACCTTTGGTGTAGTAATATATATTACTGGAGTTTATTCCAACACCAAACCGTCATTTTTAACACCTCTACACGTGTTTCAATCACCAAGTAGTCATCTTTAAAGGGAATATTAAACTGAAGATGATCACTTGGTGATTGAAACGCCTGTCAAAGTTTTGAAAATAATGGTTTAGTTTTGGAATTAAACTCCAGTAATATTCAGGTAGGGGAAGGTAGGGTAAAACTAGGTATATAACGTTTGATGGCTTTTGGAAACTTTTAATTTCTGGCTAAAAGAACTAAAAATATGTACACAAAGCAACTTGGACGAGAAAATTCAATAAACTTTTGGAACCAGTATATAAATATTTCGGCGTTAATCCAACCACTCGGGTGATTCTTGGCAAAACTTCTCGGAGGTGCTTCATCAAGAAGAAGAGGGTTGTCTCTTACCCTGGGAAAAATAAATATTGTTAGCAATAAATTACCCAAGGCGCTCATACAAGTCTCCACAATTACAAGTACCCCTTACTTAGCAGATGATAATGCACCATCCTGCTTTTTTCCTCGACAGGCAAGCACTTTAAAGGGTTTGTTAGGCACTGTGGTAATGTCCGTTTCATTGACATTGTAAATGTTTATGGAACAAAAATTGTGTTTGTTGTATAGGTCCTCTAGTCAATCGAAAAACTTGTTAACTACCACCTTGTTGAAACCCATCGCCCTGTACATTGAAGTTTTTTCGGGAAAGCCCATTAAAAGCCCTGTATTTTCATAGTAATAGCATAAACTATTTCAAAAAGAGTTTAAAAGTAAATGAAAATGATATTTACTGTAAAAATTATTTTTCTAATCAAGTAGCAAAAAGCATAATTTAAATTCTGGTGGGACAGAACCACCTGTTATTGAAAACATGAAGTTAGCAAACAATATGAAAGGCTAATGAACATAATAATTACCTGATTTTTCTTAAATTTACTGTTCGAGATATTCTGCACTATAACCTAACAAACTTAGTAAGGCTAAACTATCCAAATTTATTAAAATTCACTGTCGTCAAACAGAAGAAAATTTCTTCTCCTGAGGATGCTAACTTTGTTGGCGAAACGCGCGTCGAGTGCAAAAATATCAGTTTGGTGTTACGGCAATTGATCTCGAAAAAAGTTATTCAACTTTCACGCCAAAGGTTCCAGTCTCATCGTTATTTTCCATATGTTGGATATCTCTACGCTAGCTTGTCTGAATACATTGTTGGACAACATGTATGTGGCTTCTTTGAATTTCCTCCTGAACCAGTGTTCCTCCCTGTGTATGATCTCAGATTGGGACCATTTGGATGTTATGGTGATGGGTCCAAACATGCTCTGCTATTCCTGATTTGCTGGTTTCCCCTCTCTGTGTGTGTTTCTAGATAAAAAAATCCTGTTTTGTGAAGTTATATTGATTACATATTTTATGTAAGTTCTTACACCTGTTAACCAATCAATTGTTTTGCTTATATTCGAATATTTTTCATCGTATATTAGGAGAATTTTCTGCTTAATAAATCATTCATTGAATTTTCATTTTTTACGGTTATCATTCAGTTGAACTATTGTGTCACAAATTTTAAACTTTGTGAGTAGAAACTGATCATTTAATATATTTTTTATGTTTGAACTATTTTATCCAATTTTGAAATTATGAGTCAATATTTTTTTTTCATATAAGAGACTGTTCCAATGGAAGATAAAGCGGAAACGTGTCAGAGTGATGACAAAAAAACTGAGGAATCTAGTCAGAAACCAACTGCTGATGACAATTCTGAACCAGCAAAGGTTGACCTAAAACTGAGCCCTGATCAGAAAAACTTGAGGAGCAGGTCAAGAACTCCTCAAAAGAAAGTAGAAGAATCAAAGATGTTGCAAATAACACTGCAAAAGATGGATGTAGAAATGAACGGAAAAGACTTGTTAGAAGAAAACGAAAAGACTGAGGAAGAATCTGCTGTCAACAGTGAAAAATTGGATACTGAGGATGTTGTTGAAGAAGATGCTGATAAAATTGATTCAGAGAAAATAGAAGAAAACGGTCAAAGCTCGTCTTTGTCACATGACAAAACTGAAACAGAAAGCAACAAATCTGCTAACAGTACCCCCAAAAAGAGAACATCTCCCAGGATCGAGGCTAGTTTGAAAAATGCGGAGAACTTCAAAAAACCAGAAGATGTTGAACCAGAGAAAGATTCTGTGGAAATGGATCCTCTCGTCATCACAGATGAGCCTGATCCCGAGTTACAATTTGACGAAAATTCAGATATGGAATCTGGAAAGGGCTCGCCTGTTATCCAAAGATGTGTGACGCGACGTTCGCAAACCCGGAACATTCCCACACCGAGAACTCCGAAAATTCCGGAACAAGACCAGGAGATGGAGAAGGCTGAAAGTCCCACTGAGGAGATAGAGGTTCAAAAAGAGGTTCTTCTGGAGACGAATATTTTCAATAAGACTAGCGACTCTACTGATGTGACTGATGTGTCGACCAAAGTTCAAGTAGGTAGTGATGTCACCAGGTTGGAGTATACACAGAGGAACCTTTCTATTCCTGAGGATACCACCTACTTGGATATCACTAGAGAGCGGTCGTTAAAGGAAACATTAAGGTAACATTATCTTTTATATTAATTTTTATTCATTCATGAATATAGAAGCCAGTTTTACCAAAAAAGATAACTTGACAAACATCAATTTACAGTCACAGAAGCTAATGTAAATTATAACTTTCATTCTCAAAATTTGATATCTCCCTGATTATATGATTCTTTTAATTTAATGAAAATACTTTTGTCTAATTTCCACTAATAATCACAACACAACAAAGTTTTTGTTTCGGGGTTGAAATTAGATGATTTTATGTATTTCCACGTGTTAAAACCGAAAGTGACCATAAAAATTATATATTAGCTCTTGTTTTCAAGATATAGTATCATTATATTATATATATGTATATTGAGTTTTCAACAAATGAAATATTTCATCACCAACAGTTGGTACACATGTTTGTTTACATAACACCCCTCTCATCAGCTGTTCTTAAGTAGTAAACATAACCTATGTGAGTTTGTCAATTGTACGCACGTGGTTGCTATTGAAATTATCGTNATTTTTCAAAGTATAGGCTTGTGATATATCGTTTGAAAGGTCTCTTCATTCTCTATTGAAAAATGTTATCGCTTTCACATTTATTGCAACAATTAAGATAAAATAAATTAAAATCATGTGGTTACCAAAATTCGATAAAATACACTCAAAACTCATTGCAATATACTCAAAACTTATTTCATTTTGAGGTATCTGTATCTGTAGAATAGGGAGGGTGAGTTTGGACCCACAGCACTTAGGTCACATGTGACCTATTGTATACTCTTCCGAGGAGTTGTTCTCCTAGGTCATCGCACATCCTGTCAATTCCAGGTTACTGGGAGACATCTTTATATCGGCAGGTGTAGGCCAAGACTCGCCGAACACGCACTCTCTTATTGACGATAACTCCGGACATACGCATAGGACATACCTGACAGTTTCATCTTCCTGTTCACACATCCTGCATAGAGGTGTGTCTCCTAGCCCCATATTATGGAGGTGTTTCCTTAGTTGACAATGGCCAGTCACAAATCCTACTGTTAAGCGTAGAGTTTTCCTGGTCATTGCCAGATATTTCTTCAACGACAGCTTCCCAGGGTCGCCCAGGGTGATTCTGGCATGATTGCATACTTTGATTCCATCCCATCTCTTTAGGGATTGAGCATGGGTGTGACGTTTGGCTAGTTCCGCAATTGTCGTAGTCATCAGGCCGTAGGTGTCACTGGTTCATGTTGAGGTATTGATAATAAGAAAGTAAGCAAAAACCATAGCAATGATCTTTTCAGATGATATCCTTTAAAAAACGGTAAATAATTTCCGTAGTAACGTTAGTTTAAAACGCCTTGTCAACTTGATTTGTATGTTACAATATTAGTTGTCAGTATTTTAATTTAAGTTTAAAGTTCGTTAATTTCAAGTCTGATAAATGGTTAGACTAACTGAAATGCATAAAATAACAGTTTTACAAATAATTGGTTATGGAGATAAAATCCGAACACAACAGGAAGTAGCTCGCCTATTTTATGAGAAATTTCCTAACTTACCACCCCATATCTCAAGGAATAATAAGCAAAATAGAGAAGCAGTTTCGCGAGCTTGGTCATGTGGAGCAGATAAAAAAAGCACCTACTAATGCAATCAGTGATGAACTAAAACTAGATGTGATTCTTGAGTTTGAGGAAAACCCACATACCCATCGAGTAGACAGGCATCAACTACATTCAATGTTAGCCATGGATCCCCTGGGAGAAGAAAATATTAAGAGCATTTAGTTGTTGGTTCACAGATGGATCAAAAACACCTTCCGGTGCTGGTGCAGGTGTTTTTAGTCGCAGACCCAGGACAGAGATATCTACCTGCCTAGGAACTTATGCGACTGTATTTTAAGCGGAAATTTACGCTATTGAATTGTGTGCAGTGAGACTGGATAAATACAACCTCACACACAAGTCAATAAAAATATTCTCGGACAGTCTCGGAAGCTCTTGGCTCCTACCGAGCAACGTCTAAATTGGTAGAAAATTGCCAAAAACAATTCTCCTCGATAGGAAGACTTAACAGATTGTCTCTGGTCTGGATTCCTGGCCATACTGGCCTGGAAGGTAATGAAGCTTCTGACTCTCTTGCAATCGCCTTGGGCTTTGCCAAACAAACATTAAACACCTGGATGAAAAGAAGATTTATGGACTTCTGGCAGAATCTTTCAGGTTTGGCTCACTCTAAGGTGTTTATCCACTCTTCGAAGCTTGATACCAAATAGGTTTTGGACTACAGTAGGGATGAACTACAATGTCTAACAGGCTTTCTCACTGGTCACTGTCATTTGAATCATCATATGCAGAGACATGGACTGTCGGAAGACAGTGTGTGACGCCTGTGTTTGAAAAATGATGAAACGACAAAGCATATACTTTGTGCCTGCCCCACTGGAGACCGAATCAGGTTCTTAGAGTTCGCGGATCCGTACTCCTACCATCTGACCTAAAAGACCACTCACCATAAAAACTATGCGGCTTCGTTAAGAAGCTGGGTTTATTTGGCCGAGTGTGAATAGGTGTGAGCCACAATAAACCCTTGCGGGTTGTAGTGGAAGGTCGAATAGACCCACTCACTTCAGACCTAACCTAACCTAACCTAACCTAACCTAACCTAACCTAGCCATACATCGAAACTAAACATATTAAAAAAAATTAAATGCATCTTTCTAAAATGATACCTACTCAGAAGCTCATGGAAGATGATTCTGATAGGACTTATTTTTGTGAGCAAATGATGGACATGTTGGCTAACAATATCATCCAATTAGAAGACGTTATGTTTTCTGTTAAGTGTACTTTGTCTCTTAACGGTCATGCTAATCGCCAAAATGGCCGCTACTGGTCAACGGAAAATCCTCACTGGATAACAGAAGAACATACGCAATATCCTCAAAAGGGTAATGTTTGGGCAGGGATTGTAGGAAATCATATCATTGATCCCTTTTTCATTAAGGGCAACTTGAATGGCAATAAATATTTGGCACTACTTCAAAATGATGTCATTCTAAGTTTAACAAATTTATATCCTGATCCAGGAAATCCTCAAGTTACAGTGAACACGATATGGTTTTAGCAGGATGGACCACCACCATATTACCAAGTTGATGTCCGACAATACCTCAATACATTTCCCAATCGGTGGATAGGGAGGCGAGGATCGATTGAATGGCCAGCGAGATCACCTGATCTTTCATCATTAGATTTCTTTTTATGGGGATATGTGAAGAGCAATATGTACAAAACTAAACCTTCAGATTTGAATAACTTAAAAGAACGAATAACGCTTGCGATTAGGTCGGTCACGCCTGATATGTTAAATAATGTTAGAAGACAGTTTTATTTGAGATTAGGATGTTGCCAAGACATTCGCGGTGAATATTTTGAACATCTACTTCGTTAACATCCATAGTTCTTTTTCGTATTCTTCATTTCATTACGTTTTACACACTACATTTTAGATTTTGAATGTATTTTATCGAATTTCAGTACCCACATGATTTCAATTTATTTGATCTTAATTGTTGCAATAAACTTGAAAGCGATAACATTTTTGAATAGAGAATGAAGATACCTTTCAAACGATATATCACAAACTTATTTTTCCCATTTAAAATATTGGTGGTTGTACTTGTCATTCGAAGGGGGTTGAAGGTAGGGGTGGCATTTTTACGTTGAAGAATGCAATTCTTGGAATCGCAGCCCGCGTTTGGTGGCCTGGTTTTCGTGAGGCTTCTACGGATAGTGTTCCCAGATCTGAAACAGGTTCTGATGTTATATTTGGACCCAATTCTTTTTATCCTTTCCGACAATCCTCTGATGTACAAGTACATGACTTTGGAGTGACCATTCCTTTGAAGGTCATTTTTGATGATGCCTAGTTCCTTTTCGAGACCTTCCTTTGTATCACAAAACCCGAAAGCACGGTCTAGTAGAGTCTTGATGATTCCTCTCTTAGTCGATTGATGGTGGTTGGATTCCTGGTTCAGATACTGTCCCGTTTGAGTGGGTTTTCGGTATACAGATGTTTCCCATTTAGTGTCGGTCGTCTTCTCCCAACACGTCTAAAAATGGCAATTCGTTGTGGACTTCCTTCTCCATTGTGAAAGTGATGAAAAGACTTACGTTGTTGATGTGCTTCAGGAAGGTGTCTAGTTCAGTATTCCCATGGTTCCATATTATGAAGGTGTCTTCTACGTATCTCAACCAGACTCGCGGTTTCTTGTGGGCTTCTTCAATGGAGCCAGAGTTTCAAACCACTCCATATATATATATATATATATATTGGCTATAACAGGTGAAAGTGGCGATCCCATTGGCAGTCCCTCATCTTGCGTAAGGAATTCGTCCTTCAGTTGGAAGTAGCAGTTTCATACACAGCATCCTAGTAATTCCATGATTACTTTTATCGGTAAGTTTGTTCTATCATCTTCGGATAGCTTCTTTTGTATGATTTGAAGTGCTTCTTCGAAAGGAACGTTGGTGTAGAGGCTTTCCACGTCGAAACTGATCAGAGCAGGATCAACTGATCAACCAATAGAGATGGATTTGGAGTAATGTAAAAATTCAATAAATCACTTTTCGAAAATTTAAAATTGGGTCTATATTTTCATTGGCATACTTTATAGAGAATTCAACTATCAGATCCAATCGAAAAACAAATGAAATATATCCAATATACTTTTGCCCGCTAGATCTGATTCGATATGTTCTTTATCACTTTTTTCAATATTTGTTGGACCATGAGTGTATTGAATTTCTCCCTTAGTCCATAGAGGTTCATCATCGGATCGATTAGAGTTCGAAGAAATCAGTTTAGCTCGTTTCAAGGCGAGAGTTTTTTCATCTCATGAGTTATCTTGATCGTTATTTGTTTCGTCACAATCAATATCATACTCAGGTACATGGTATTTCGTATGTCCCAGCACTATTAACGCATTGCATATTACTTTCAGGCAGAGGAGACTCTTCGTCAATAGTTTCTTCATCAGTGAGTAAATCTACCTCTGGAGGAACATACACAACATCGACTGAAAGATCTGAAATTGAATTCTTGTTGTAATGAACGAATGCGAATTTCGAATTTGAGAATAAACAGAATATGACACAACACATGAAAATCAAAATAGATACTTTTCACATACCTCTCTCCAACTCATCTACAACCTCCTCTGAAGCTGCTTCTTATTCATTCACAGTCAAATACTTTCTGAACGACATTTTATTCACACACACAACTATCTTCTGATCAATCTGGGTGAAGACTCCACTTTCGAGATTCTCATACAAATATTGCAGACAGATCCAAACAGGAATTTCCTTGTTAGATTCGTCAATATCATATTTGTATCTACCAGTGTTTCGTAAACGAACCACGTGATATCTAGTATTTATCTTCATTTCAATATAAAAAAAACTGTTTACTTCAACATTTAGCTTCTAAAACTATCCAGAATTGAATTTTGAGAAAAAAAATCAATCAAACATTAGTTGAAGTTTCATCATTGTTTACAAAATTATAAGTTGAACAGTTAGGCTTGAATAACCATGTTGTGGAATTGGCCGCGGTGGTAGTGCGGAAGACCGTGGGTTCGATTCCTGCTTCGACCAGATATTTTTCTTGAGAGAATTCATCTGGTTGAAGCTGGGATGATTCTGCAACCATGTTAGGAGTCACACGTTAAAAGGTAAGACCTCGTTAGTCCTTAGCTCGCACAAGTTTCTCAACTTCTGAGAGTTGTTCGTATGGGGGCGACAGCTGATTAACGGAAAAACAGATAACAGATAATTTAAAGGATATAGATTGGATTATTGTTGAAAGATCTAGCATAGAAACTGAGCTTAAGAGCTTATTTTTCTCCCCTCGAAGCAAAAATCTGTTAGTTTACATGGTGGTTGAATGCACCACTGCTTGGAAATGGGTTAAGAAAGCAAAAACTGCAAAATAAATGAATAAAGTGTCTATACGTTCGTATAGCAAGCGCCAAACGTGATGGCGAGCGATTGCGCAGGTATAGACTCTTCCAACTAAATTCCTATTGGATTACGATGAGCCCCTTGCCGGCCAGGGTCGTACCTATAATTAGTTTTAATTAGGGTAGCAAATGGAACATGACTTCTTTGTAATTTCTTTTCATATTTTATTTAGTATTATAGGTAGTAGTACAGTTCATCAAAATGTTATACAGGGTGTTTCAAATTCAATCCTCACCGTTGGGATCTCGAAAACTATGAGAGATACGAAGATTGTTAAATTGGGGCAAAGTTGCGCATTTACCTGACTAACAATATGCCGTTGAGAAAGTTCTGAAACTCCGAGTATATCAGGAAAAAACAGAAATTTCGGAAAATGGATATTATTTTGTTCTGGCTTAATTTTTGCCACTTTTTTCCTGCTACATAATGTTGTTTTCAGATTTGCTATCCGACGTTTCGTCTTCCGGCCACCACCATCAACTTTATTTTTTCTTATGGGCGCTACATTGCATTCTTTCTGTTTTGAATAGAACCAAATTTTATCTTTTCAATGATGTATCATAAGTTAGCATTCTTTTTTAAAAAATTGGAGAAATTAAAAAACAAATAATTTTTGTCATAATAGACTTTGACTTTGATGTTTCTAAATTTGACTTTCAATTTGTTACACTCAATGACATTTCGTTATTGTACAAGTCATTGAGTTTTTGACGAAAAATGGCTTTCACGAATGAAGAAAGCAGAGATTTGATACAAATTTATTACAAATACGATAGAAACAGTGTTAGGACATCGGAAATGTATTTTTTTTTTCGTTAATCAGCTGTCGCCCCCATACGAACGACAATTCTCAGAAGTTGAGAAACTTGTGTGAGCTAAGGACGAACGAGGTCTTACCTTTTAACGTTTGATTCCTAACACGGTTGCAGAATCATTCCAGCTTCAACCAGATAAATTCTCTCGAGAAAAACATCTGGTCGAGGCGGGAATCGAATTTAAACTTGTATCCCGAAAGATGACAACCACATCGAGCTATGTTCAAGAAGTCAAATTTAGAAACATCAAAGTCAAAGTTTATTATGATACGAATTAATTTTTTTCAATATCTCCAATTTTTCGAAAAAGAATGATAACTTATGATACATCATTGAAAACAACACAAATTATTCAGACAATGCCAAACGCCAACAGCACTGGAGCACAAGTAATTATACGTCTCTGTACAGAGCTTTTGTAAGTCTAACAAGAGCTGTAGTGAGGGTTATATTGAAACTGAGTTTGTGCGCATGCGTGCGGGCTCGCCATTACGTTTGGCACTTGCTGTAGCAGTTTTAGGAAATAGTGTGGTCATTCTGATATTTCTGAGAAAGGTGCCCTGATCAAAGGATACAAAATGAAATTGAGAAACGAAATTCAGTCAACTTTATTCAGAGATTATTTCTATTGTGAAATGCCCGTCTTTCTTCGACCCTTTTTTTTAATTCTTGCTTCGGAGCACCTGACCTATTCTTATACCTCCCATCCACTGTTGAAGTTCGCTTTTGTATAAAGCTCATGAATTTCGAACGATCGTGATCTTTGATTTTGGAAATTTGTTTGCGACTTTTCGATACATGCGGATGTGTGTCTGAATCATCAATGACGTTCTTTTGAGAACTAGGATATCTAAAACCTTCATCTTCCTTTCGACCAACCATCCACTTTTCATAAAAATCGGGCCTATACCCAGTTGGCTCATCCCAAGACCTCCTGCAATGTTTTTCTATCCACTTCACTCTTGAGGGTGTTGGAATCCTGCAGAAACAATGTTTAATCAATGTACCAGATCGTTGACAGTCACGTACCCATAAATGCTGACCAATTTGATTCCAAAACTTGGCAAAGAGTATGTTGTGGAATGAGTTTATTCGTAACGATATTACAAACGTTTTATCAAATTGATCAAATTCATATACCACTGTAATTATTTACTGGAATGATATAGGTACTTTGCTACTTTAACTCTTAATCTGTAGCTGTAAAACATTTTTTTCTAATGGTCAGTCAGTTTGAGCTCATCTCAGTTGCCAATTTGTGTAACATTTTCGGACATTAATTATCAATTCAATCTTTATACAGTGCATTTCATTCAAAACGAGCCATCCTGAATAACTTCTGGTACAATGATTTGTAGAAAAAATAAAAAAACACATCAACCATAGTATACAGTCGGACACATTCGAAACTATCTCGTTCGACAGTTCTTGGAGTCATTAAAAAAGAGGATGTCATTGACCATGCAATGAAACGAAAACAAAGGAATAAAAAATTCGCAAAAGTTGATGGTGCTACAAACGATGTGATACACAATGAAAGAAAGCTTGCGGAAATTTAATCAGTCACCGACTTTGAATGCTGTAGTGCTTGACAATATAAGGCGAGTGGTGAATGAAGTAGCTAATATATGTGCGGAAGAACTGTGTGGCCCACGTTATAAAAGAAGAGAACAAATATTCTGTGCAAAGTTCCATAAATCCGATCGTTATTCAACCCGATGATGATTCCACCTCATCCGAATATAGCGAAGAAGAATTTTGATTTTTCTTGCAATTTTGTTGGCCTCTATTATTTTGTAAATATATGTTTGACGAGAATTCGGTGTGATTATTTGTGTTTTCNTACTCTCAACTCCTGTACATCATTTAAATCCTTTTACCTACGCCCCTTCATCGAAGAGGAAATTATCATCATTATTAAGAGTCTGAAAACAAAAAAGACGCAAGATGTATATAGTATCAGCACTTATTTGCTCAAACAATGCACATCGCTAATCGTTGAACCACTTACCATCATAATAAATAAATGTATTTCTGATGGTTTTTTTCCATCAGTGTTCAAACCAGCCAAAGTTCTAGCTATTTTCAAGAAGGGAGATGAAAAATTACCTGAGAATTACAGACAATATCACATATTGCCCACCCTATCCAAAGTAATGGAAAAAGTTATTTTAATACAGTTTAGTAACTACATGGAAAGCAATAATTTCTTACATAATTATCAGTTTGGGTTTAGGAAAAGTAAAAGTGCCATAGACGCTATAAACAAATTAGCTAATAACATTATTGAAGCTTTTGAAAATAAATAATCCTGTTTAACTATCTTCACAGATCTGTCGAAGGCTTTCGATTGTGTCAGTCATGATAAACTGTTGAGAAATTAGAATGGTATGGCATAATAGGAATTCCCAATAAAATAATGAATCATATTTAGCTAACAGAACACAAAGAGTTCACAATAACAATATGATAAGTCAAAAACGTATTATCAAAAGGGGAATCCCACAAGGATCCATACTGGGGCCTTTCCTGTTCCTAATTTATGCTAATGACTTACCTTCATATATATATCTCAAACTAGAGTTACTGACAATATTATACGCTGACGACACGTCATTTTCTGTACATATAGATAGAACCCGTGATGTTGATAACATATCGGCAAATATTTGTGCTTCTGCTAAACAGTGGTTTGACTCTAATGAATTGTATATGAATGAAACAAAAACAGAAATTTGTGTATTTTCAAACTATCGCACTGATGCCATTTCTACATCAGAAAGTATAAAATTTTTAGGAGTTCATCTTGACTCGTCTCTGGACATCAGTAATTTTTGCAACAAACTAGCAAAATCTGTTTATGCCATTAGGCGAATAGCTACAACGGCTGGTCAGAAAGCAGCTCTAATGACATACTACGCCTTGTTCCACTCAGCAATGAGTTATGGGTTGCTGTGCAGGGGTAATGCAAGCTACACCCATCTTCAAAGATTATTTGTCTTGCAAAAAGCTGCTGTACGTAGCATTGTTAAAGCTGAATATAATGAACACTGTAATCCTTTGTTTGAGAATACAGGAATCATGACTCTATTCTCACAAATTATCTTTGACAATGTTCTGCATGTCATAGAAAATTATCACACACTCACAACACACTCGGATATTCACTCCTATAAAACACGCAATGGAAATAATATTGTGCCCCTCTTAAGATGATTGGATAAAAGCAAATCAATTGGCATCACTTGCTTCAATTTACTTCCTGAAAAAATCAAACATCTGCCACTCAGACTTTTCAGAAATACAATGAAAAAACTTCTCACTAAAATGAGCTTGTATACTCTGAGTGAGTTCAATGTTACTCTTGAGGATTTGTTTGGAGATACCTAGTGCATCCTTTCCACTTTTTATTCCTGTTTCTTTATACGTTAAGAATTTTTAAAATGCATTTTATACTCTACATTTAATTCTATTGTTACATTAACAGCTTTTTTATGTAACTGTGCAATGTAATAGGTGACTTGTCCAAAATATTTGTATTTGTTATGGGCGCAATAAAATTCTATTCTATTCTATATGTTAGCTATAAGTATTTTATTATCCTTTCGTAAAATGCAGTGTTCTTCACACTGTTGAAAGTGATTTTAGTGACGAACCCATCACATCCTCACACAAAACAGATATTGAGGATTCTGGTAATGAAGACGATTCACCTCCTGCAGCGTAACTACTCGTAAACTTGCAGGCAGTAGATGAAGAGGGCAGCAAAACTCTAGTCCCAGACGCAATGCTGAATACTGTAACGTCAAGGACAGTGATGAAGGTTTGAGCCATTCAGATTTGTCTCAACGGCGGAAGTTCCAAAAACTAAGGAAGTATTTCAGTAAATACCTAGCCAATTTTCACGCACGAAAGCCCATAACAATCTCCTTGTCAATACCATCTTCCTTTTTTCACCGTCGAAATTTCGAAAAAAAAAGAAGAAGATTCTAGAAAGCTACTATATATGAAACGTTAACAAGAAATTACCGGTAATGTTTGACCACTGGCAAACTAGGCTTAGGGGAGAATAGGGTAATGGGAGTCAGCGGGTGATGGGAGTCACCCTCACATCCACGAAACAATACGAGCGAGCAACGCAAAAATGACATCCCTACAGCACGCTAAGTCCAATCATATTCATATGTTGTCTCTGCCACCACACACGCCACACAGAATGCAACCTCTGGGCGTTTTTTTTTGATCCGCTCAAAATGGCCTATAAAAAAGAATGTGACTTATTTTTTTGAAAAGCCATCTTGCAGAAAAGATAACACCTTATGACGTAGCATCGTTGGTGAGAAAAGCATTTAATAATGTTGCGTCTATTGGTAAAGGAGAATCGGGTTTTAGAGCTACTGGAATATTTCCACTAAATCCGGAAGTATTCTCAGAAGAAGATTTCTTCGCTGCAGAAACTCTCCAATCTGAGACTATTGTAATCCAAGACTGCAATGAAACTCTCGCAGCTACCAGCATGAATTCCAGCACATCAAAAGAATTATACACTTTTATTTGAGTTCTCGCTTAAGTGACCCCCATTACCTCTTTTACCCTAATAGATGAGATTCTGGCTGAGTTCTGTAGTAGGTGCGAATTTAACGTATGTATTTTTTTTAAGGGCAAAACACAAGCACAACAGGAAAATTCTTAAGGCGCTATAAGAGCGGTGCCTGTGCGAAAGTAGTATATCAAATTGGATGTGAATCGTTGGAGATTAAATCAAGTTGGAAAAACGTTCTCAGGAAGTTTATTCCACTTGAGCGCAGTCCTCCAAACAGTGAAGTTCAAGGTGTACTGAGTTGAACCTCAAACCAATGAGCAGCCACAGTTTCTAATATGTACCGCTCTTGTTGGAATCAAATGCTCAAAGTTTTTTTTCAAGAATAAAACACAAGCACTACCGAAAAATCCATAAGGCGCTCTCAGAGCGGTGCCTGGGCGAAAGTAGCGATTTACATTGGTGTTGAATCGCTGGAGATTAAATCCATTTGGAAAAACGTTCTCAGGAAGTTTCTTCCACATAAACGTCGTTCTCCAAATGAAAGAGTAATTGAAAAGTGAAGTTCGAGGTGTACGGAATTGAACTTCAAAACGATGAACAGCCACAGTCCGTCGCGTATTTCTGATATGTACCGCTCTTGGTGGAATCAAATGAGCCAAGTCACTTGAACACTTCCCGTGAAAGTATATATAGAAGAAAGACAAATCTTCAACCTTTTGTCGATGTTCCAGAATATCAAAAGTTGCTGAGGTGAGTACACTTTTTTGATTAGGTACAGTGTTCCAAGCTTTTGAGAAGCAGCCTTTGCAATTCCAGCGACATGATTGTGCCAAGACATATTGGTGTCCATTTTAACCTCTCAACAAACTTATCGAAGCAGAAAGCGGGATTGCCTGACCTGACATCATTATATCCAGTTCGAAGACATTTATCTTCTTGGAGAAAACCGATGCCTGGGTTTTTGTGGCATTGAATTGAACCTGGTTACTTTCACCCCAATTTGAAATCATCTGTAGATCCTCATTAAGATATACAACATCCTGCTGCCGGTGAAGATGTTCATCTGCAACCGATGTCTTGGAATTCAAGTGGAATGATGAGACAAGTGTGCTCTCGTCTGCAAAGCAATACATTTTATTCTTGGTTTTTTCCGATAAGTCGTTGATATAAAATAAAAGGAGGATTTGAAACAATATGGATCCCTGGGGAACACCAGCGTTGATGGTGAAAGTATTCGAGATATATCCATCGACGGTCACTTGTAGGGAACGTTCTTTTAGGAAGCTGAAGAGCCTTACACAAAAATGATCCAACAAGCCATAGCATCGAAGTTTGGCCAGCAAACCCTCACTCCACACACGGTCAAAGGCCCTACAAATATTAAGCGCAACAGCTCTTGATTCTCCATGTTTCTCGATTGCGTTTTTACAAATATGGGTGACATACGATAGAAGGTCGTCTGTTGATCTTTGTTTCCGAAAGCCATATTTATGATCGCTTAAGATGTTGAAACCTTCCTAATATTTGAGGATTTGGTGGTTTTCAGCTTTCTCCATGATTTTTGGTATCACTGATAGTAAAGCATCTTGTCTATAGTTATTTGGAAGATTTTTCTTGCCCTTTTTGGGAATAGGCTGAACTCGAGCAATCTTCCAACAAGAAGTAAAAACTCCTTTCTTGTAAGACAGGTTGAAAAGTCTGCAAAATACTGGTGCGAGTTCATTTGCGCACTTTTTAAGTGAGGAAATAGTGGGTGGTGCCATTTCCAGAGAGTCGTTAGGGGTATGTTAGTGGTGGAATTGTGGATTTTGTAAAGTTATGATAACAGCCTTAGCCTCCTGAACAGAAGAATCTAGATCCTTTGGGATTGGCAAGCAGTTTATCACTTGAACACTTCCCATGAAAGGATATCAAAAAACCCTCCGAAATTTGACTTTAGGCTATGGTGCTGAATGGATCACTTTCAAAATTTCTGAAAAAAAGTCATGTAGTAACACTGACAGAAGCTGAAAAGCTAGCAATACCTACTCAAAGTGTGGTACGTCTTATAAAGTTAATGAAGGGACCGAACTCAAGCATTATTATTGATAACGGGTTCAGTTTTATGCAAGTAGTTGAAGGATTAGAAAAATTGGCGTATCTTTTACGTTGGAACTTCGTGAGTTCTCCAAGACATGAGACGAAGAACGGTTCGTCTCTTTTCTGAAACATAATTAGGGTATTCACAACAGTCGTACAAACGGGAAAGTCGATAGCCTAAATGAAAAATGTGTTAAATACCGTACTACTAAGCATGATGGAACTCAAAGAACTCTGGTCAGGTCATCCCAGATACACTGAAGATATATGATAGAGTCGCACAAGAAAACTCAAGGTACAGAGTGGCCATCTGCCCCGTGAGCTTCCAGGAATCATTCGCCAAATTCTGTCCAAAGAAGGAAGTGCTTTCAGAAGAGAGAGGTACAGCAAATGTCCAAAAGACAAGGGTAACATAACTGCATCATTGTGTTGCTCAAGTGCCTTGCCGAAACGTTTGCAATGCTTAATGCAAATCTGTCATGATGGTACCTTTTTTCGGTTTCAACAAGAACTTTTTAGGAAAACTTTTATTTTTTCAGGTATTGTTGAGTTAGATTCGGAGATGTTTCCAATATGAAAAATATGTAAATCGACTGACTTATATAAATTGCACCTACTTCATTTGATTAAATTACTAAAATTTTGATTTACGGCAAAGTAGTGAAGATTTGAAANTTATATGTTTTTTTATTTACGGCAAAGTACGGAAGATTTGAAAATTCTTGGGTTCCGTCAGTATAGTTGACCAAAATACGTCCTGTCAGGTTAAGGACTGATGATCTTCAATAACGATTATTTCTTGATATTTTACCTACTTCCTTATGTCACTCCTACTGAATCATCTGAACCATGGTGACAAAGGGTATTATCAGTGTGTGTTGGATAGCCGATGTGTAGACAAGTAAATCGGAGTGTGATAGTGGTGGTGACAGTGTATAGTGCATTGGCGACGAGCATAAATCAATTTTTCTAAATTATGGTTTCCACTTACATGATGCACAGTTTTTTTTAAAGATCCTTACGTAGTGAGTACATAATGAGTACAGATTGTCTCTTCTTCTCAGTCTTACGTCAGGTACAATAAAATCAATAGTATGGAGAATTTCAGGTACTTTCAGTTTTCTAAGAATGTTAAAAACAAAAATCACTTCCAAGGACTCACGGCGGTCTTTCAATGGTTGCATATTAAATTGTGTTTTCTGAAAAAGAGTGTTCCTAATAATCGTTTCTGGACTTTCTCTAAAGTATCAGAATATAAAAAGGTCTTTGGAATCCAAACGACACAACCATATTCCAGCTTAGAACGAACAATGGAGTTAAAGAGTAACAAACAAGTATAGTGATTGAATTCACGGCTATATCTTAAGACAAAGCTCATTTTTCTATAACATTCAGATACTAAGTATTCAATGTGCCGAGAGAAACTGAACACACCAGTAAAAATGATCCGAGATCTTTCATCTCATTGATTCTCTGTAAATTGGTGTGATTAATGAAATAGTTCTTGATAGTGGGTGACTTCCTTCGTGTGAAACTCATTATTTTGCATTTAGCTTCGTTGAGAGTAAGGTCAGATACTGAAAAGTAAGTAGCTAGATTATTGAGATCATCTTGAAGCATATCAGAATCTTTTCGCTTTCGATTCTTCTGAAAAGCTTGAAATCATCGGCATATAGGAGAAATTGAGAATGCCCCATATACGGAGAAACGTCATTAACAAATAACACGAAAAGGAGAGGTCCCGAAATTGAGCCTTGCGGAACTCCCGAAGTAGCGATGAATTCGAACGAAGATACGTTGTTGAACTGTACGAACTGTATTCTGTTGGATAGATAGCAGTGAAAGAAATCAAGTGTGTTGTTTGTGAAACGGAATGGCGAACCGAATGGCGACAAAGCTGGTGAGAATGTTCAACTATTGACTAGTTGGATATCTGTACTGTTCATGGTATATAGTTGTATTTATTGTTTTCACAGGTACTTGACATACCTAAACATTCTGTACATTGCTCGAGTGATATTTCTTTCAATGTGATTGCTTTCAGTTTATTGTGTGACCTGTTAATGAACTTTATATTTCTGAAGACAAATTAATGAAACGAGTGGAATTGAATGGGCGATAATTAAAAATTTTCGGTATAAGGTATAACATAACCTAACTACTAGGATAACACCTAACACTCCTACATTATGTACTTACTCAAAAATATTGCAGCCATCATTGGACTCAAATTGATCATCTTTCCCCCTGAAATGTTAAACAACTAACTTTAGCGAATCAAATAACTTCAATACGAAACTTTTCACTCACCCAACATACGAAAAGTATTTGTCATTTTTCATCACTTTCGAAATTTCCCTGAAAATTACAAAATCATTTTACTCCTTGATCATTGTTTAGGATGTATTACGTGTTCCAGATAATCGAAATCACTTAGGCAGGCGCCGTGTTGGACTATAATTTCATACATATAAACAAAAAAAAAACAGTGTTATTTCCTCAGGAATTCAATCAAGTTTAGGTATAGTCGAAGTAACTGGTATTGTGCATACTTAAAGTGTCGGCGCCCTCAAAGGCCAAAAAAACAATAAAAAGAAATAAAGTCTGTGCCAACTAGTCCACGTGGACTGAAGAATTGGCGGTTCGTATTGGATGAGTTTCATGATTGGCTGAAGAGTCATAAAATTAAATTTTGAAGTCATGTTACGGTGACGAATAGAATGCGAGCCGTCGTGTTGTCAATGTTCAGTTCAGGAACTGATCGCGATTTGAGTGTTGAAATTCGATATTGGTGCAGTTATAATTACTTAAAATTTTTGTTATCTGTTCAAAATGTGGTATCCTTGGACAAGTACTAATAGTAATAACGAGTGTGATAACAACGCAGACTTTTTCCCGTGTAGTGAGTCCAATAGCGATGGTGAACAATGCGAAAAAGAGATACCAGTGAATAAGATTCGGATGCATTTGAATATTGAAATACAGAGAGTATGTTTCAACGTATATAAGAATCTACATCTGAAGTTTGGTTTCGAGAGAAACAAACTATTACAAGCAACATCAGATTTGATCGAAATTCCTTTCTCAACTGTACGTAAAATAGTCACAAACAAACCTTATGAACACAAGACGCAATGTAATACGGGATTACCAAAACATTTAGATGTTCATCTGATAATATCATTGAAAAAAATAATATACGACTGTTATAAAAGCAATGAGATTCCTACAACTGAAATCATAAGGAAGAAATTGAATAGTTCCGGCCATAACGTGAGCTGCTGTGACAAAACTCTTCAGAATTGGATAAAGAAACTGGGATTTATATTTAAAATAATAAACAAACGTCAAGCAGTTATGGAAAGCAAAAGAATAGTGGAATTGCGTAACGAATACTTAGAATAATATCTAGACAAGAACAACGGCAAATTTTCTATTTGGACGAAACTTGGTACCTATGACACACACGAGACAATCACGAAAGGGTGGACTGATGGTTCGAGAATGTTTACGCCTAACCTGCCTGCAAACAAAGGATCGCGACTAATCATTGTGCATTGCGGAGGAATTGAAGGTGGGTATCGAATTCTTTGAAGTTATGTGGAAATGTGGAAAAAACTTGAGGACTGCAATGTTGACTATCAATAAGAACATGTAAACTAATATTTTCGATAAATGGTTTGAAAACACATTGATCCCAAATTTGGATGCGAATACTGGAATAGTTCTTGACAACGCTCCCTCATTGGCGACAGCTCATCAAAGTACCGAATAAAAATTCGAGGAAAGATGAAATACAAAGTTTTTTCATGGATATCAATTTGTATTTTGAAGGTTACTAAACCAAAAACCAACTACTTGAAGTTTCACAGACAAAAACATTTGAAAAAGTGTATTCCCTTCAGAGTATTGCTGAAAAGTATGGACACACCATACTGAGACTTTCCCCCTATTTTTGTGTTTTCAATCTCATCGACTCAATTTGGGGAAAATTTAAACAAAGCAACAGGTGTAAAAATAATTTTCCAAAGGTAATAGAGCTAATTGAAGAAGTATCTTCTATATGGAGATTGGTCACTTCCATAGTAATGGTGGAAATAAATTCATTATTTCATCTTTTCGACGTTTCGGCTCCTGCTTTTGAGTCATTTTGAAGAATCACTTGAAACTGTACTTACATGACTCGAGGACGAGGTCGCAATCTCCCTTGCCCCCGTGTCTTGTCACTAGCTCTATGCTTGCTCTGTTCAGCTCTACGTGCGGTTCAACCCGGACAACAGTATATCACATATACACACACACACACACACACACACACA